CGGTCGCCCGCGGCTCTAAGCCTGTCACGCTTGGCGCGCGCTGCGAACATCTTGCGACCTCGTATATAAAATACTTGTTATTGCTTGCGACTTCGTCCACGTGAAATTTACAAATATAGTCTATGTTACTCAGCGATAACGTAGCATTTTAATGGTGAGAGAATTTTTAAAATCGGCCCAGTAGCTTTGGAGTTATATAAATACATACAAACATCCAAAAATACTAATCTTTCCTCTTAATTATATTAGTATAGATATAGATATAGGTACCTGCTTCATCCAACAGATCTATAATATTATAATAAAGCGTAAACACACACTTCTTTGTTGCCTAAGATGTCAGTAATTAGAGCATATTTTTTTAATAAAAAGTCTTACACTTACGTCATGCTTTAGGCTATATATTTTCACGCTATTAAACTCAGGGGGTAACTAAATTGGAAAAACCCTCATGTGGGAAAGGGACCATAAACAAGCTACAAACATTAAGGAAGCAAGGTTATTATAGTAACGGTAATTTTGACATTAGCAGAATTATTAGAATTTAAACAGTGAAATAAAGTGTTTATAATTTCATGCGGATGAAGCCGCACGGAAACAGCTAGTATCTAATACATAGATACAAACATACGTAGATAAAATACGTAAATAAAAACATATGTATTAAGTTGTGACGTACGGCACGTCATAGCTTTAAGTACAGTCAGGTTAACCCGCGGCGTTTCACATACAGAAAAAATGTTCTTTGTAACGAGACAAACTCCATATTTTCTTACAAAAATCCTTTAGGTAGCAGCGAGTTGCAAACGGGGTAATAAAATCAATTAGCTGTGTACCACTGACCGACCATTTTTCTTACAGACATTATTAAAAGCTGCCTAATATTAGTGATTGTTTAACGTCGACCGATTCCCCGATTGTACTTAAGGCGCTTGTTACAAAAGTTGAAGATATTATTAGGAGACTAGTGTACAAGAATTTCATTAGTTACATATTTAAGAAAGATATATAATAAAAGTATCCATAATCGAGCCGCGAGTACCAAGAGATTTATTATGCAAAGAAAATATTGCAATTAGCTTTGTCTGAAAATAACCGTCTCTATAATCTGCTTGTAATATGCATATATTTCTTTATTTATTTAATTAATATATACAAGGCTATTCTTTACATTTACTATAATAATGCATTTTTTCTCCACCAACATTATTTGCGAAGGTCGATTATGTTTTCTTCTCTAATGAAAGAACGCACCCGCTGTGGTATTTCTGTCCTCCAATAACATACTCTTTGACTTTACAAGCGATGAAAGATGTACGGCGAATGTTGCCACTGAATCAAATGCATAAAAGTTCTTATTTTTGGAATAATCAATGAACCGTTCTTCTATCTCAATACTTATCCAATAGATTATGATTCTTGCTATTTAATTACACATAAAAATATATGCTTGTATTTTTTAAAACGCTAAAAAGACATTTTCATGTGTTGTTCAATGTTTTTGATTACAATTTCTCAAAGTTGCTACTAGATGGCGTTACTATAAGCGTAGCGTTACTTTTCGATGTTTTCATTTTGAAGGAGAATAAAATGCCGGATGCCTCATTTTAGTCCTCTTTCCCTTTTCATAAAAGGTAAAGGATATTTCATAAAGGAAGGGGAAGTGGGTTGACAGGGGATGGGACACATAGTGCAAATATCCTCTTTCTGTGGATCCCTTCCTCTAGTAGTTAACCTACTAGGCATCTAGTAGGCAGGCAACGTATATGTTGCAAAAGCAAATGCACATTGATTTTTGGTTTCCGGTTGCCGATTGCTAATTTGTTAATTTATACAAAAAAGTAATGAGATGTAAATTCGAAAAAGTATTTGAATAATTATCATCATAATTACTCTGGAAATCTATTTGGAATTACCTATCTTACGACATAAGCATCAAGGGAGTACCTTTATTAAGAGAAACTAAATCAAATATACAAGAAAACGTATCAGACACAGTTGTTTACCTCTCGATCAATCTGTTAGATATCTGTTTAACCTCACAATCTGTGGTAACTCAATCTATCATCACTATACCCAAGATTTAAATGAAGTTAAAAAGATCTATAAATAAATCAATGCTTTACTTATCTGTACGGAATAACAGGTGACTCAAGAGAATGTGTTGGATATAACACAGCTATTTGTAATTTATACGAAAAACTACATGTTATGAATAATTTTGCACATAAATTAATGCTCT